AGTATTCTTTATTACTGTTATCTCAGATATCAGCTCTTTCCTAGTTTCTTCTTGTGTCTCTTCAATTCTTTTTAATCTCTCCATTATTGTCTTGATATCAACTTTTGTAGTTTGAGACCCTTCGTTCTGGGTGCTCTTCATTGTTTGCATTCCAAAGTCAGTTTTCTCAGTGTCTGTCCTCCCAGGGCTCTGGGAGAGACCCATATTCTTCTTTTGGTTTTTCTTCATTTTTGTAGATTTTTCTGTCTCTCCCCCTCCCCTCCCCTTCTTTAATTCTGTTTTTGGGGGAAGGTAGGGTTGCTTTTATTTTTCTTCTGCTATATCCTGTTCTTCCTTATGAGGGTCTTCTGGCTTTGTTCACTTTTGATGTTGGAGTGTAGGCTGCAATCTGTACTTTTTGCAGTTTTGAGGTTTAATTGAGAGGGAAGCTGTGGTTCAGAGTGTATATGCTGATTCTAGCATCCACAAACAGATGTATGAGCACACTGGAAACTATTTCCCTCTGCCTTACAATCTGTCCGTTCAACAATATGTAGTCTTTGTTCCTAGATTAAAATGGGGGTATAAAAGAGGAAAATAATGGAGGAAGGGGGAGTTAATAGGAAGTTAGAGAGAGAGAAGAGCGAGAGGGAAAACAGACATACATACCAACTATCAGGTGAGAAAGAGACACAAGGCCGGAGAGAAGTGGAAAAAGACACGTAAGAAAGATTCCCTAAAGAATACTGATAGCTACACAGAGACAGACCAATATAAACATGAAACAGTATAAGTCAGAAGGCAAACAATCAACATGATCAAAATAAACAGTCAAAATGATAAAATCATAAGTCACAATAAGAGATCAGACTAAAATCACTTCAGCTCTGATCTCGGCCTCTCCCCTTTGTTTTTCCATTGCAGGCAGCTAGGTTTATTCACAGCTTGGGTTTGGCTGCCTGGGAATTGCTTTTATCTGATTCAGCTTAGGGGTGGGACTTTACCTTCTGTTTAGCAATGTTACCTTAGGAACCAAGGTGGAGTTTGTTGATAGGTGGGCAGGGCAGTGGAAATTTCTGCCCGGAGAGAGGCAGAGGCAGATTCTCTTTTGTAGATCTCTTTCTCTCCGCTTGTCTGGGTCCCCAAGCTTGGGGTCACGGGCTGAGTGCCTCAGCCAGGGTGGACTGGGGGCTCCAGAGCTCCAAAGCTCCAACGGGCAGGTGGTGAGTGGCAAGAGTTGGCTCTGAGTACCCCACAGGGTACTTCAACCAGGAATGGGACCGGTGTCTCTGAGGGGCGGGGTCCAGAGCCTCCCTGAGTGACCAGTGATTTGGTGACAATGAGAGACAATGTAGCCAGGGAGCTAACTGAGACCCAAGACTCCCACCCACGCGGTGGAACAGCAGCAGCAGAGGGCCGCAGTATCCGGCCCTGCGTGGGACCAAGGGACCCAAGCCTTGGACCAGCGCTTGCTGGTGGTGGGCTTGAATCGCCAGCAGGTGGTGTTATCCCTTGCTCCAGATGGTC